CTGGGGCTGATTAAGTCAATGGTTAATGTATCCTTCTTGTGTAAAAGACAATAAATCATACTTTGATGTATTTAATTCGCTTTGAAATTTACTGACCGTTTATTCACCAAACTGTTATACTTCATATGATATATAACGACACAGAAAACTGATGCACTTGTACATGAAAAGGGTGGAGAATGTTATATATACATTGTTATGTCACTATCATTGGAACAATAAGTATCACTAATATTAAAGCAAACGTTTTTCAATACGGTGATATACTTCTAAATTTTATAATCTCACGACAAAAGGTATGGTCTACATATCTACCATTTACATGCAATCACTTTATAAAGAGCTTTCTATAAGATTCACATAAAATACCATCCACCAATATGATTACATGTATTTCTAAAGGTCATCGTTCAGCGACCATGCTTATTATAATAAGGTAGTATTATTTTTACTATATAACATAATAATATAGTTTTTACATCTTAAATATCAATGAAGTTGCTATAAGACTTACGAAAATTTATTAAAGTTCACAGTAGTAACAGGAGTAAATTACAGTCATATCACTTTATCATTCGGTTGCAGTTATCTAAGTTCATTGATGAATGTTATACACTTTTAAAGTAATCTTGTGACCATTAATGAAACCATTATTTTGACAGTAAATAGGAGCACAACACTGAATGAATTGTCACTACAGCACTATACAGCACATGTAATGTTCTTTTCAATGTGACTAATGAACAGGTCAAACTTATCATCCACTGATAAGTTGAAATATCTCCCAGCCCCACACTGTATGTTTGACAGTTTGACAATTATCAGTAAATGTAATTAATAATCTAGTGATAAGCATCTTTTCTAGGATTATATAAATGGCCAGGAAATGTATGGAGCTAATAAGTTAGTGTTAAGCATCCGTTTTTAGGATGATTTAAATATACATAATTTTATTATCTAATGAGTTAGTGTTTTAAACTATCAAATATAGTCATGTTGCTAGTTCAATGGAGCTATGACATCATGGCGACCTAGCAACACATCCTTTATTTGTGGAACTATTAAATCATAATTGTCTGTCTAGTATCAAACTATAATTTTAGCCCTTCCTAAGTAAGCTGTTCCCTCTGGTGACACTTTGTGGTGTCATGGCGTCCTAGCATCACGTGACAATTTATGGAACTATGACGTCATCATCTTTATCATCGTTTCACATCCCTTTCTTCCCTCTTCCTGAGGAAGCCACTTAGAGTGAGGCAGCATCCTGTGGGCAGTGGAGTGAGGTCCTAACTACTGGTGTGCTATTTTTAAGTATTCACTTCAAGCATCATGACTTTTGTTATTAACGATTCATTTATCATCATGTTCTTAGTTGAAGATCCAATGTACAATGAGCATAAGTTACATATACATAATCAATGCAACTGAAATGAAAGAGTGGCAATAGTAGATCGTGGTGATGAGATAAGAATCATGAACGTGAAAATTTGTTGAATGAAAGTGCTGAGACAACAGATAAAAACTACTGAATTTTATGTGCCTTGATATCTACCCTATACTGTATGAAAGTATGACACAACATATGATAGCTGTGTACAATAAATATAAATCCAGTACCACAATGTTATTTGTAGAGCAGAAAACAATAAAAAATATATGAAAGCAATCACGAAGTTGTATGTTTTATACTAACAAGTTTCATTATTATCTGCAGTGACAGTATTACGATAAGTTATTTGCTCATTACTGTTTGATATAAATATTAGTATATTGGGCAGTATATTATATTAGGTATAATGGAAAACAATAATTTGGTATATGTTTGATAAGACTAAAATTTCAAAACGAGTAGAATATGAATATAGTAATGCATAACAGAGGTAGTAACAACAAAACACTGTTGTGCTAAAGAAAATCACTACGTAAAAAAGTAAAGGTTGAAATGAACAACAAACAGCCCGTGTTAAACTGGTATTTTTTATGCAGGGTATCCAGTTCTGGAGAGAGATGGAGGGTTAACTCTGAACACCAGAGATTCTGTTGGTAGCGATATTCTGAATAACTTTCATTATCATATTCAGGTCACTCCACTGATCTTCAAACTACAGTGAAAGCACTACATTTAAGGTTATGTGAAACGCATTTGATTCACATTGTAAGAAAATAATGTAAATGCAGAATTAGACAAACAAGTAATTTTTTGTATTTCTTAATGTATAGTACTAAACTTCGAATTGTACACCATTGCTACAAATATTGTTGTTTGGTAAAAAAAAAAAAACTGATTGTCACACATACACTAGAGTATACATTTAGAGGCTTTACATGTTTTTGAATAATGTCATTATCAGCTTGAAATATGAAACAACAAAACTTTTTATATTTCTACTTTTAAAGCTATAACTACCTTAAAATAATATATTGTAATCTAGATGGGCTTTCCATTGCTCCAAAAACGAGATCTACTCTTTGGAGCTGTTGGTGCCCTATGAGAATGACAGTTAAATTTTGTTATTTCATCAGACAAGAATAGCCTAGATCTTGTGAGTCAGTGTTGTTTTACCACTAGTCTATCAACTCAAAATTAGGGACAGCTATGTACAGATTTCTGAGGAAAATTCTGAAACAAACTAGACTCAATCATTTAAACAACCAAAGACATTACTATTCCTAACACTTGCAGGATTTCGACAAAGATGTCTAAAAACAAACATGGATGAACATCGAAAAGTGACCACACAATATATATGTATCCGACTTAGTCCAAATTAGATGGGTGTAGAAAAGTGACCACACAATGTTTTTAATGTCTTCTTGTCTGCTACTTAGTCTAGTTTAGATGGATGTGTAAAAGTGGCCAAACAATGTTTTTATTGTCTTCTTGTCTGCTACTTAGTCTAGTTTAGATGGATGTGTAAAAGTGGCCAAACAATGTTTTTTTTTATTGTTTTCTTGTCTGATACTTCTAAGGAGACTTGGATCCTGTTTTCAAACCATGATGTAACCATATATGCTGGAAGAAGTGTTTTAATTCATATTTTGAAACTCTTTTGTAGTTTAAGTCATTCTTATACTTGAAAAATGTATTTTTCTGTTTATATGTATATATATGTATGTATGTATGTAAATATGTATGTATGTAAATGTAAATGAAATAATTTTAAGAAAATGTATTTTTTCAGTATGTGGAGAAAAAAAAATCCCTGATTCATTCATTAATGAATTTAAAGAAGCTCGTGGGGCGATTATACAGAACTGGCCTTGGACGGTAAGGATACTTAAAACTTGACATTCCATTATAATTAATATATAGTTTTATTCATAATTCGTTGTGAATTTAGTGGTAGATGGATATTTGTTGTGTAAGTTTTGTTAGAGTAAAAAGAAATGGTAGTTCCTAACACAATAGATAATTTTCTACACAGGAAATATAAAGAAAAATGCTATTGAATAGAGCCAATAGAGCAGGATTCAATCTTGTTTATGGCTCTCTATGTAATACGTTACTATTTTTTAAATAAGAGTTAATCACTTGTTACACTTATTTTTCGTTATTTAAATACAATTTTGATACATACAAGTAAAGAAAACTTTAAAAAGAAAAGAAGTAAATGTATGGATGGCTAGTATCAATCCTTCAAAAACAATGCACACAAGATAGTAGAGATGGCACTTGCATCGTCCCTACATAATGTCTTAATGGGTTTTAAAGTACAGTGGCTTATGCCAGAAGTTATGGTCACAATAATATCACAAGGAACTTGTTATCCTATGGTTATGAAATATAAATTTGATCAACAGATACACAAATCTTAGTTTATTTATGAACTTTAGTATGTTGGTGATTTCCTCTTTGCACTTTTGGATAAACAAAAACAATTCTTAAAATGCAAATTGTATGACAAACACATCTGATATAAAGTTACAGTGGAGTAACATGGATCAGAATTACATTTTCACATTGTTTTATATTTCGTAAGTAGTGTGATGCTATAGAACATTTATCAGTTTTCGGAAAGATATATTTATAATTTAATTAATATCTAGTAGATCTTCCTTTCGCTTCGTAGAGTTCGTTTATCCTTTGGGGCATCGTGAGAATCGTCTCGTCAATTTTAGATGGTGGTATTTTCGCCCTCTCTTGCATCCAAACTTGGAGTAGATCGCTCTTTGAAGTTGGTTTTTTTTTTGGTTGTTTCTTGACTTGCCAGTCGAGTATGACCCAGAGGTTTTCGATGGGGTTCATGTCAGGAGATTGGCTCGGCCAGGGCCACTTCTGGAT